GGGGATCATTGGACAGATATGCACCCCCCGGTTCCAGCAAATTCTGGTATAAACCAAATGCAGCCGGCATCGTCTACTCAACACAGAAAACTTGACAACTTGGAAAAAAAAAAAAAAAAAACCACCACCATGTATTACCCTAAGAGAGAGAGAGAGATACATACCTACCTGGTCATAAAGCTCCCAGCAATTGCGGAGAGTGTAAAAAAAAAAAAAAAAAAAAAAAAAAAAAAAAAAAAAAAAGAAAAAGAAAAAGAAAGAAAGAAAGAACACAAGATCCGGTCTCCACCTTACCCCATACTCTACAAACCTCTCCACAGCCTATCTTCTCATCCTGACAGTTATTTCCCCTCCCTCCCCTGTCAACGACGCACTGCAACTACATTGTCAACGTTCGTTCATTACAGACCATTCATTATCCTCATCATGATTCTGGTCATGATTGCTGTCATGATTCATCAGCGATCATGACGTATGTAGTCATGGATAACGTTGCCCATTGAATTCATCCACGGACTACATTCTTGGTCGCTCGCTCGCTCGCTCGCTCCTTGGACCCCCCTTATACAAGGCCTACCATCTTCCCCTGAATACAAAGCACGGTCATTATTGCTGTATTTAGACTGCAAGACACCCCAAATACAGCTCTACTATAATGACCGTACCTTGTATTCGGGTGAAGAAGGTAGGAGTTCTTGGAACGCTGGATCAGGCCAACCACCATGCACAACAGTCTCCATTGCGATCGATTCGTCAGAAAGTAATTAAACCACCTACGTCGAACATGTGCAAAGACTGTTGGTCGGCCAGTTGGTCGGTCGATCGATCGATCGACCGAGCAATCGATCGATTGACCGATCGGCGATTCTCATTTCCATCACGTGTGAGAGGAGCACATTGTCCAGATCCATGTCCCATCGGAACTAGAGGGCCCGAGAACTGATGGTTCATACCTACCTCTCATCTCCGAGTATTGAAAAAAGACAGAACTGGAGCGGGACCGCCAAGGTTAATCGACCCCTGAACCGGGACATCACGAGATGAAGCAACAACCTCCAGACTGCAGCTGGAACTCGACAAGAAGTCCCGTGTTCTTCCACATCATGCCACCGATGCAAATGTCGTTTCTGAGCCTTTCGGTCGATGATACTTCTTCGCCAGTCTCGTTCACACTGATGGAGACAGGTGCCTGCCATCGCGAATATCCGCCGTTTCTGACCAACTTTGCCGGAACTTCTTAGAATGATGGAGACAGACACGTTGGTCAAGTACGACACATGTCAGTCACGCAACCACGGGGCTCGCTGCATTGCTCACCAAAAAATCTGCAGAGTGATAATGAATCTTCCGCCAGAACATGTAAAGATACATCACCATAATGTTTGTCTTTCGTGCATGTGGTGAGTAATGAAGCGAGAGGCCCTTCAACGGATAGATTACGAACTTCGCAGTGTGAATATCCATATCCATAGCCTCACCCTGAGCCATATCCCGCTCCCTCCCCCTCTCTGTTGTTCGCTTCCCTCGCAGTCCAACTGGCCGCTTCCTTTCTTCCTTGGCAAACGAACAAATGCCTCCAGCAGTAGCAAAAGAGAGGTGAGATAAGCGAGGCTTCTACCGTCTTCACCCGAATAGAACGCCCGCTCCCTCCCCCTCTCTCTTGTTCGCTTCCCTCGCAGTCCAACTGGCTGCTTCCTTTCTTCCTTGGCAAAAGAACAGATGCCTCCAGCAGTAGCAAGAGAGAGGTGAGATAAGCCAGGTTTCTACCGTCTTCTCCCGAATAGAACGCCCGGTCATTATCGCTGCATCTGGACTGACAGTTGCCCTATTCTCCGCCATGATTGTTCCTGGTACATGGTTTCTCGTTGGCGCAGGCATGTTCAATTGATCCTGGTCCAGCCAGCTCTACTCCCTGGTTCTTAGTTTCACCACTTTGGGCCCACAGCTCAGTTCCATGCAGTGCCAAGGAGTTTGGGCCTATAGCTCTGCTCCAAGCAGTTTGGAGCGCATGCAGTTCACATCCATCGATGCTTGTCTAAACAATTTCCGTCCATCATACCTCTTCTGCGATACGGTTCTGGTTAATAGGTCCCGACGAATCAAGGAGTTCTTGTCCATCCATCCTCTATCAAATAGAGAGTTGTGCTCCATCCGTCCACAATCAAGGAGTGTAGTCCAGGTCCATGCAGTTGTGGTCCAGAGCACCTGGTCCATGCAGTTCCGACGATTCACAACCAAAGCACCTGGTCCAACCAGCTGCGATCGGGAGCACCTGGTCCACACACAGTTCCCATCTACAAAGCCTGCTTGCTCAATCCCCATGGCTGCAGGTCCAGGTCCAGTGACTCCAGTCCATGTCCAAAGCACCTGGTCCAACCAGCTACGATCGGGAGCACCTGGTCGGTCCACACACAGTTCCGATCTTCAAAGCCTGCTTGCTCAATGCCCATGGCTTCAGGTCCAAGCACTTCTGGTCCGCGGCTTGTGGTCGGTCGTTAGAAACTTTGCGGTCAACGAAAGGACAACATGATCACCGCAGCTGGGCCCTGTGCGTACAAGCCCAGACGCGGCCACCACAAGGGCTTCTTGAGGTGGCGGTCCCCATATTCCTCTGCCGACGCAGGTCGAGCCACAACGACCTCAATGTCCTCGAACATCGGCCGGCTGTAAGTACCGAAACGACCTTCGCCTACCTCCGGGAACGTCTCCTTCCGCCAAGCAGCCATGCCTTGCCTAAAGAGGAATATACTTTCCTCTTCTGAACCTCCTCCCATGGTTGAAACTCTGCGCCAGGATCGTCACGGTCGGTCCAACCACGTGGAATTCTTCAAAACCTGATGATGGCGAACATACTGAACGCAGGGTGCGGAGTGTTTGAAGGCACCACCCTACGATCAGAATGCAATAAGACAATCTTTGCCCGGACCGAGCAAGGTTCCCGTGGGCCGTGGCAGAGTGGCGAGCGGCGAGCGCCTTTTTGTTTTTTGCCTTCAATTGCAAAACAGCCGGCACATCCAAAACAAAGTCCCTTTTCAGACGAAGAGAGCACGTTGTCATGAATCAGGTCTACCTTACGCTGATCATTAGGGAGGGCACCATTTTTCTCACATGGCGCAGCTGTGAATCATATCACATAACTGCTCACCGAATCTTCGCCGCCGCCGCCGCCACTCGTGGTCATGTCATTCAAAATCACATCCTCGGTCTACCGAGTGCATTCCTCGCCCCTCTTACCACCACTTGCACCTTTGTCGTTGTGGAATATACGCCTATATCCATCCATTCGTCAAAATAATACTCCATCTACGACCCCATGGTCCGTTCATCATGGTCATCAACGGACCATTCCGGAGGAATAGGTTCGCTATTGCAGCCCGATAAGCCCGTGCAAGCCCATGTGTACGTGTGCGCCTAGCGAGAACAACGAACCTAGGAACATGACAAGAAAAGTGTCTGCTTACTTTTTCTGTAAAAAAAAATGCCTCCTCACGCTTGTCCAGGTCTCTTCTTCTAACACTTCTATCGTTGATGACAGGACCTGGAACCGTCGACGATACGACCTATACCCGTTGCCGAGACCTATGGATCAGCACAATAAGCTGGGGAGGTGATCCATCCGTCCACTACACTCCCGAACGTATATCGCTCATAAAAATCTCAGGAGAGAAATTTATTCCACTGAACAAATTTGAATCCATCCTATATTTTATTATTTCCTTATCTACCCAGAAATTATACATCGAGCAACCCAACGACAGTACTAACCAGGGTCCGAACTGACCGCACTACCGACCAGGGTCATACAAACAAACCAAGGTGGTACTAACCAAGCAGGAGGTACAGGCCAGGGTAGACCTAACCAGTGTCGTACTGACCAGGTGGACCTAACCAGTGTGGTACTGACCAGGGTGGCGCTAACCACGTTGGTACTAAGGTCGTTGGCACTAACCAAGGTGGTTGGTGACTTGGTTCTCACCGAGCCACCAGGGTGGTGCTAACCAGGACGATAACTAACAAAAGGTCGTTCTCGCTAACTAAGTTGGTTGGTAGTAACCAGGGACCTGGTACTCACCGAGCCAGCTTGGTACCAACCACGGTGGTACTGTTCGGGTGGGTGGTGCTAGCCCCGCTCACTCTAACTGGCAAATTGGAAAATCTCAACAATCACCGACTGCCCTTGTTTGCAACACTACAAAAAATTGAAATTCTAAGTCTTAGCAAAACCCCCTGTCTGCCATTTCTGTGTCTATACAAAGTTACAAACTGAGAGATCGACACTTCTAGTGTTGCAAAGAGACATGTTCTAGGAAGATTGACATTTCTAGTGTTCCAAAGAGACATGTTCTAGGAAGACGATGACATGGTTGCAGCAAGAACCCCCGTCTGGCTTAATGCATCTCTGTGATATTGCAAGTGTACCCTTCCCTCCTGCCCGCCCATGCCATGCTCACTTGCCCCTCCCTGCATTCTAAGCCTGTGACTTCAAGAGAAGGTTGAACTGTTTCCTAACCCCCAACAATAAGGACTCACCCACTCGTATGCCCACCCGCCCTTCCGCCAGGCCCCGCGCTCCCTCTTTTTACTCGCTCTGCACGACATAAGCAGTAGCACGAAACCCTTACACTTTGGATAAGCAGTAGCACGAAACCCTTACACTTTGGATAATAACGAAAAGGTGCACGGAGACTACATCCCCCGCCCAACCCCCCGCCCGCCCTCCCGCGGTCCCTCTATTTGGTTACTATTTGAAACTATTTAGTGTTTACCCGCTTTCTGTTTCAACTGATTGATGCCACTTCTTGATGACCAGATTCATCACACTGGAAAAGCATTCATGACACCACGACTTCCAGCGACAAAGCAGAAAAAAAGCACCAATGTCACAGAAAAACACACGAAAAAAAGAAGACAAGAACACTTGATTCAAACAAACAAACAAACAAACAAACAAATCAATCAACAAACAAAGGAACAAACAACCAACAACACAAAAGGGCTTCTGGCCATTGGGCTGAGCAGTATGTCCACACTGACATCAAGACGATTCAATCGCCCGCCTTCAGCAACTTTTCGCCACCACCTTGTCCTGTTCTCTCTCGCAACCCCGATAGCACCACCCTCCTTCCTCCCCCCCTCCATCGTTCTGCCTTGACGGTTCTGAGCCCTGAGCCTCCGCTGCTCCTGCGGCGCAATTTGCAGCCTGCGCATGCCACGTTGAGTAAACAGAACAGGGACAAAACAGAGGACAAAAAGAAAAAGACCAAGCGGAAGCACGACTCAGGAAAGGAGTGTCAGCAGCAAAGTCTAGCAAAAAATTCATTGGCGTAACCGGTTTGCTTCTCTGGCGTTATGACCCCGCTTACGGGAAATTATGCCACCATTACAGCGCTCATTCCACATTGCCAAAAAGTTGAAAAAAACACCAAGATAAAGAATTTTTTATTTTTTTTTAAACACACAAAAAAACGGGAAGAAAAAAAAAAAGAGCATTCTCCACTTCCGTTTCACCGATTCTTCCATTCTACAGAATTCCGTTCCCTTCCACAGAATTCAGTTCCCTTTCACATAATTTAATGCCATTCCACATGAATCCACAGAATGGATCCAAAATTATTGTATTCGAATTTTGATCAAAATCCAGAATTATGGTGAAATTTCATTTGAAATTTCATTTTTTAATTTTGCATTCTAATTTAATTTATTTAAATGAATTCCGGAATTACGCCTGTGTCTCTTTTTTTTTTTGGGGGGGGGGGGGGGGGGGGGGGGGGGRGTGAACTTTTCTTCACTTGCATTCCATTGTATTTAGTATTTAGGCATGAACTTTTTCTTCACTTCCGTCTATAACGAAGTTAAAAGTTTCGTCTTCTCTTTTTTTCTCTTTTTTCTTAAAGTAAAATACATTCAACAATTTTGGACTTCACCATCTGTAGAAAAGTCAAGTTCCTTAAAAAAGAAAAAAGAAAAAAAGAAAAAAAGAAATAAAATAAAACTCAAGTTCCCTCATCTGAACAGAGGACGAGGACCGTGCTAGATGTGTGCAGCACAGAGGTTCGTCAAGGCACACGTAAACATGGAGATCGTCGTCAAACCACCATGGCACACACGGGACTGGTGGGGTCCCGCACTGTGCGCCAAGCTTTGGTGAATTGCCAGAGGGGCACTTTTATTCATGTTTGGCTAGCGCCCTCAGCCGTTGTGGTCCGGTAGCCCTGAGCCTACGGAAGTTAAGGAGTAAGTGAGCCAAGAACAAATCTTGCAAGGCCGGGTCCGTGTGCTGGCGGTTTAGCACAAGCACATGGTAGCAGTGGGCATGTGATGTGCACATACAAGACGGAAGACACATGGAGCGAACACATCACATGACACATACAGATGAATGTGAGGAGACAAACTGCCCAGAAAGCACCCACGGACACTACTATTGGACAAGGAGAGACCTGCAGCGTCCAGAATTACACATGGGAAGAAGTGCACAGTGCGCACAATGACGCATGGAGCACAATGCAGGGAACGTAAACCACCACAGTGAACGAAGATGATGATAGACAGAAGCACTTGCAAGCATACAGGCTCGAGCACGTGCGCACACACACACACACACACACACACACGCACACACACAACCCTCCAAGTAAGTCAGTGACAATCTGGCGAAAGTCTGGTGCAGTTATGCTTATTTTGTGGAGCTGTGTATAGGGAACAATGCCGAACATGAGAACACAACACACACACACACACACACACACACACACACACACACACAAAAAAAAAAAAAAAAAAAAAAAAAAAAAAAAAAACATAATACACACAAAACACACATAACACACACACATGGGCTGAGGTGAGAGAAGTTAAACTCCCAAAGACAACCTGTGTACATGCATGCATGCATGCAGAGGCAGACAACATGCTTATGCAATGACTGCACTTGTGAATATATTTACGGTGTAGACTGTGGTGCAGCTTTACTGCCACACGTCATCTGCATCTGCCCTGCTTTATGGTGACATGCAGGGCAAGTGACAAATGCAACTCACTTCCACAGGCACTGCATACATTCATGCAAGAAACTGGATGAAAGAGGCTGAGAGGCAAGCAGACATCAGTGCTACCTTCTTCCCTCTAACACAACGCACCCTAATTGTGGCTGCACCGGAGCGGGGAGATAGCTTGTATGCATTCATTATCAGGGTGCGTTGTGTTCGGGGGAAGCCAATAGGCTACCAGGACCCTATCCGTAAATGACGAAATATGAGAGAGGGTCCAGAGGTATACATTTCACAAAAAAGGGAAAAGAGATTTATAGGCAAAGACTGGAGCAAGGGAAGAGAGAAGCATACAGGACAGGCAGGAGATGGACAGCCAGGCAGACAAAAATGCATACAGGGAGGGAGTCAGCTGAGAGAGGAGAGACGAAACTGACAGACAGTAATATGTGTCACCACAGTGAGGACTCTGTGAAGCAGGTGTGTGCGTGCACGCGTGCAGAGAGGGGTGATCATTGCCCTCCCCGGCCTATGCGTGTCGCCACATTCGCCTCCCGTCTTTAAACACCTTGCCTTCCTGTTCCTTGTGCATCTCCCGGCAGTCTCCGCCGCATCCAAGCTCTTCCATCTTCGCTTGCACGCAGTTCTTCGTCTTCGTCTCCTTCACTGTCTCTGCCTTCTTATTACGTTTCCTTCAGTGGCATCGATCCCACCCCCTCCATGACGTCAGAGGCGTCCGCTCCTCTGTATTCCGTTATGCTCGAGGGAGTAACCACAGTGTGCAGACGGCTTCCAGCAAGCACTCTTCCCACAACCTCTTCTTCCAGTCCTCTTGCGACACGTGGTCTCTTACGGAAGGGCGATCCTTCCACCCAAAATCCTATCCTTAGTCCTTCCTCAGCCAGTTTCAGCTTCCGCAGTGTCATCACTCCATTCGTTGCTTCCCTCTCCGTCGCATACCAGGGCTTTGCATTTGGCACGTGGAGGGCAAGCCCGCCTTCTCCAAAATCTTCATCGGTGAAAACTGTCCGCGTGTCCTTCTGTCCAAACCTCCGTCGCTTCTGACCAACCTGCCGCAACTTCTTAGAGTGATGTAGCTTGCAGCTTGAACCATCCGGGCACTCACCAGTCTCGGCGAAAACAGAGCACTCGTACGTATGCCTCTTCGTGCACTGATCAAGACCACAAACATTGCACCGCAAGGGGGAGTCATTGATAAGGGCAACGCATTTACGACAACTACCATGTGAAAAAAAAAAAAAAAAAAAAAAAAAAAAAAAGCTAAGGAATTAAAAAAAAAAGGGGGATAATTTGCAAAATCCCCGCATAAGTTGAGATAAATGCCAAAATGCCCCTGAAATATGTGGGTAGAGCGGAATGCCCGTTTGGGCCGAAACCGTGTTATGCACCTGTCAGGCCAGTGGGCAAATTTGCAATATCGCCCTCGCCATTTTAGGCCTTGGCCTTTTGCAATCAGGCCTTGGAAACATCGGCAAGTACCGGGGCATTTTGCAAAGTTGGATGGGACCCGGTAGGGGTATATTGCAAAGATGGGGGGTCCAACCGACACCAGGGACATTTCACCAAAAAACAAAAATATGTCAGAGGGTCATTCCTATCCCTCCTCCCCCCCCCAACACAAAAGAACTCCAGGCAACGGAGACTTCAACCAATCAACCGCCAGGGGGAGTGGAGTAATTGTTGACCAATGACCCCGAAGCTTTTACAGATACTACGTCTACAAAGCAGTTACGAACAACAGTACTCCGCGGTGGGGAGACTCTGAGATATGTCTCCTCACACGTATCAACTGCTTCTCCCAATTTCTCTGCAAGTGATCGGCCTTGCAAGGTGCCGCATTCTAAAAAAGTGAAAGAAAGCAAAAAGAAAAACAAAGCTCTGGAAAGGCCAGTCCAACTTTGGCATAGCTGGTTTTCTGCGAAATCTACAAAAAGCTGGAACGTGCCATCTTCGGTGGGAGAGGCAGCGCACTCGAATGGGCTTGGGAGGCCCAAAGTTTCACTAACCCCAAGAAAACTCTGAATACTTGCAACTGCGCATTGCATCGGGTTGGTGAAACTTTGGCCCTTCCTAGCCCATCGAGTGCTCCGGCCATGCCAAAAAAATGTCTGTGGACCAGTGTGGGTACCCTGAAGGAGCGGAGAGGACCAAGCTGCCGACCATGGGCGCGCTTCACCGCAATGGCGAAATCGATCGTGTACACTGATTCGAATACTGATTTTCACACAGAGAGTGGCTGATCTTGCAGTCAGGCTCAGCAAGCGGAAAGTTTCCAGTTTGACAAATTAGGGTCTGCCAGAGTGGTGCCTCACTGGAAACTGGGGGTTGACAAGGTTTTCTTTTTTTTTTGGGGGGGGGGGAGTTTTTTTTTTTTTTTTGTTAAACAAAAAAAAACAGGTCCTTATGCTCCCGAGTCCTGGCTCCATATCCGTTCTGGGGAACGCCAGTCCAGTCCCTAATCCCCCGGCAAATCCTGAGTTCTAACAATTTAAAGTCTTAACGACTCGTTAAGTTTTTAACACTTTCACCAGCCCATACATACACCGCCAGACACTGCAAAGTCCACATGCATTTCTTTCTACCAGCCCAACCAAATCATAAGACGCAATAAACTAAACAAACCCACTGCTTCAACATTTGACTCTTTCTTTTTCTGATTTTTCATTTTGGAAAAAAAAAAAAGAGTCTAAATCCACTCAACAATTAAGCTGTGAGATCAGGAAGATCACATAAAGTGACATGATAATAATACTAGAATCCGCATCCATTCTCGTCCTTCGGGACATCCGTTAAAATTGGAACGATACAGAGAAGATAAGCATGGCCCATGCGCAAGGATGACACGCATAAATCGAGAAATGGTCCAAATTAAAAAAAAAGAAAAAAAAAAAAGAACCCGCATCCATTCTCAGCACTTGAATCATACCAGGATGAGAAGACCTTGTACCCTCGCTGCCAGGGAGAGACCCGTACCATCTTCACCCAAATACAATGCCCGGTCATTATCTGTTACATCTTCGACGCACACGGGTCCTACCGGACCCGACTTAGGGCCGGAGGGACACGTCAGGGCCTAAAGGCCCGACCTTGGGGTAGTACAGGCCCTCAGGGCCTGATCTTGGACCAGTACCCGACGGGCAGGCCCAAACGGCATTATCGTTTGGGCCTGGCGGCGCTCTTGAGGCTGCCGCCCGCCGGTTGGGGCTGAACCGTCCATCTGGACGGTTCAGGGCATGGCCAGGCCTCGCAGCATTGAGGCCGGCCTCTGCCACACCGGTATAAAGTACCGGTACAGCCTCACTTGGAGGCATCGACCTACCGGCACTATACCGGTACGGTATGGTCAGCGCCAGAGCGCTGTTTGATGCGCTAATTAGCGCAGGAGCGAGCAAGGAGCAGCAGCGGCAGCGCAGCGGCAAGCGCAGCGGCAAGCGGAGCAGCAGCACGGCGACTGAGCCAACACGGCGGCCATTGCCGCCTGAGGTACCTGGGAGCGGAGGACCTCTCCTCCCTCCCTCGTCAGCTCTCTCTCTCTCTCTCTCTCTCTCCTCCTCCTCCTTCTTCTTCTTCCTCAGACTAGAGACTTATACTAGTTGGACAGAGATCAGAGTTGGACTTCGGTGATATGAGACTGTGGTACTTACCTGATTGGAGACTTGGAGATTGTTGAGGTTGATACTCGGCTGCATCACAGTTGGACACCGGTTACATTTGGACTCTGTATCYCCGACATTGGTGACCTATAGGCCTCGACATTTTGATCTTGTTGTACGACATTTTGGACTACCATATCGGAGACCTATCAGACTCTATCTATCGGTGTTGTCTCCACCTCCTTCGTCTCTCCTCCCACCTTTCATCTGTGAATGCGTGTACGGGATCTGGGCATCGTCTACGAATGGCCCAGACCCCACCATCTCACGATTGTATGTGTGTGGAGTGATGCTATGTGAGTCAGTCTATGTGAGTCAGTCCGTTTATCAGACTTCCGCTGCATACATGCTCATCCTATATTGGTTGATCTTTGGTTCTGCCCATACTCATCGAAGTATGCAACATTATCGCTGCATCTAGACTGAAAGGTAAACCAAATACAGCTGCTATAACGGCCGGGCACTCTAATCAGCCGAAGACGGTCGTCCAGGACTTGTTAGCACTGCGTGCGAGAAACATTTTACAGTGCTTTCATCTTGTCCACCTTTGCTTGACACATTTTCATTTTTCATGTCCTGTCATTTTCTTCGCCTCTGCCCGCCATGCTGCTCAATGCTACTACTGCAAACTGTGCTCTGTACCCTAATTACCCCCCCGCCCCCCCCCCCCCCCCCCCCCCCCCCCCCCCCCCCAACAAAAAAAAAAAAAAAAAACCGGATTAAGTCCTGCGGTCATTCACAAAAGCAGGTGCATCGAATCTATCAATAGACTTCCGCTCGCTCAAGGTCAGCCGTTTCTCTACTACCGCCTTTCCCCTAACACAGCCATTCTCTACAACCGTCTTCCCCCGCCCGAACACAACACACCCTCATTGCGTATGTATACTAGCTGTCATTCCAGTCACATGCATCCGTTATGAGGGTGCGTTGTGTTCAGGGAAAGACTGTGGGCTAATGGAATTAGACTGACCGCTAGGCCCTTCCCCACTGCGAAACCATATCCAAGCGCGTTCATTTTATTTTATGTTTCTTTTCTAGCAATCCAAGCATGATCTTTTCAATAGCATATAATATTATAATAAAAAAATGAAAAAAATGGAATCAATGCTAGAGAGAACCTTAAGAGAACAACAGGGATGCAATCTTTGACGGCGGAACCCTTCCATTCTCGTCATGGTGGACGCGCGGATCATCATACCGTAACATGGTGATGTGGCGTCCAATTTCGGAAGAAGCACAAGGGGCAAAAAAAGGAAGCCATGTCACAAGGGCACAAAGCACACAAAAGTGAGAAGACCATACACCGACCGAACAAACCGACTGAACAAACCGACCGAACAAACTGACTGAACAAATCACATTTGTGCCAACGACCCGCAGAAAAGGAATTGAGACTGTAGACCAAGAAGTCTGAGAAAGGCGTCTCTCTGCGAATGCTCGTCGTGGGCTGCGTGGAAGAATGCGCATTTTCCAAATTTTTGATCCTGGACAACGGTCAGCCAACCATACCTTGCTCGCACTGGCAACGACATCCAAGTTAATACTAGAGAATTTTATGATTTCCATTAGTGAAATGTAAGAGACTCTTGTTAAATGCAACAAGGCAAGCAAATATCAAAATATGCACACAAGGGACACAGTGTCAAACAGAACAAAAGCCAGATGCAGCTTTTTCTGACAAAAAAAAAAAAAAAGAAGGCAATGTAATGGATGGATGAGGATATCAGCACCTGATAGCCATCACGGCAATAGCCTTTTCGGAATGCGGCACAGATAGGACCCGTCGGATCGATCTTCTCCGCATGTCTATATGCACACTTTGCTTTTGTACATTCACCTATATACAATACACAGTATCACACACACACACACAAAAAAAAACAAAAACACAGAGGTATCACTCACTGGAAACTGGGTTGGACAAGTTCATCGCCATCTGCCTGTGCAGACTGCCTAACACAGAAAACAGAACTATACAAAGTTAGTATGATCCATGGATTCGGAAACATTCAGAAACATTCGGAAACATTCGGAAAGATTCCGAAAGATTTGGAAAGATTCGGAAAGATTCGGAAAGTTTCGGAAAGATTCGGAAATCTCCAATCACTATTACAGCCGTTCCGAAACCAGATGTTGCCAACCCCAAGTGTTGTCTGAGACACACAAGCACAATGAGCCTTTCAAGAGATCCACACAGGATGCTGAACACGACTCAGCGCCCACCGCAAGTCTTCTAAGGACATACGGATATCCAATACCCCAACTAGCCAGTAGAAAAATGCAGTCACACCATCTTGAAGAATCGTCAGAAGAAAACAGGAGCACACAATGCAAGCCATCACAGCTCTCCCTCTCTGTGTGCGTGTGCCATGTGTGCATGTGCATGTGTGTGTGTCTGTGTGTGAGAAGAACTTTCATAAGTTATTGCTATCATATTATAGATTACAAAGCAAGTCAAAAGTGGGCCCCTTTCCCGCACCTCTCTCTCTCTCTCTCTCTCTCTCTCTCTCTCTCTCTCTCTCTCTCTCTCTCTACTGTTGTGTACCATGCACATTCGTGAGTCCACACATTTACCTTTGAGGAAGTAAAAGCAGTCAGGCATTCGCTCAGGTATAACCTGCAAGACAGAAGAATAGAGAAAAACGACAGAACCAACACCGTGAGGCAGCGGAGAACTTTCACAGCCACTCAAGTCGACTGATGCACGCACGGAGTGCGCATGGTGATCACGAGGTTGCGCTTCTGGTGCGGCCTTCAACCACCAAATTTTCCCAGCTTTTTATGTTCACGCATCAAACGAAACAGGGCCATAAACACTCTGAATCCTGTCCCGATGCTCCTGTCTTTCAGGGTTCCCAATTGAGCTCCATGCACACTGCTTTCCAAGACCTTGATGACTGGCCAGTAGGTGGCCCGGGTTGTGTCAGCGACCACATCCCAGAGGCCGACTGCTTGGGTGGTGTGAATCCCAGTCATCAACCTCGAAGTCCGGCAGCATAGGATATAGGACACATCACTGCATCTGTAATAACACACAATCAATGGGGCCACACTTCAAGCTTAGGACAATCAAAATGATCAGCAGCTTAGGACATCAACTTCAGGGTCGTCATCACCACCACTGTCATCATCGCCATCGCCATCACCAACGCCATCATCATCATCATCATCATCATCATCATCATCATTATCACCACCATCATCATCGCCTCTCCTCCATCTTCCAAAGTTTGGGGATATCCAGCATAGGGCTTAGGACATATCACTGCATGTGCAGCAGAACACAAGCCATAGTAGGATCATTATTGAAATGACCACCACACCTCTACCTTCAAGCTTGAGACATCGACATGAGGATCGTCGTCATGATCATCATCACCACCATCACCCGTGCTCCACCTTCCCAAACAATGGCGACATCAATCACCATCACCATCATCATCATCATCATCATCATCATCGTTCTCAGAAGCAACCACAAAGGAACATTCTTGTCAGCATAGTAGCATACATTTGACCGGCCGGTAGTAGAAAAAACAGCACTGGGAATCCTTTGCAACCAAAGAGCAACAGAAGCGGAACAGTGCATTGTTGATGTCACCATAAAATCAACAACAGCAGCAGCAGAAGAAGAAGAAGAAGCAACATTCTAAGTATCATAGTCTTTGAAAGAGGGTAGTAGAAAAAACAGCATAGCATCTTCATCGCAGAAGCCCAGGGTGTCATCATCATCATCGTTCATCGCACTTATCAACGTGTGGCTGCCATCCTCTCGATCATAATCAGATGAACCTGAACCGCTAACATGACCATCAGCATCAGTCAAATCATCACGCCATATTTACAGGTGCAATCACCACACCAGCACAATATCTTCGTCACTACCGTCTTCCCCCGAACAAAACAACCTGTAATTATACCTACCCGACCTTTCCACTCCCCTTCCCCCCTCCTCTCGACCTGCGCACACCCAACCGCTGAAATTCACCAAGGTTGTTGGGAATGGCAATGCTATGTATGGTCAGCACGGTCGTCGGACAAACTTGTTTGCTCGTAAACTTTTTCGCATTTGCTGTGTCCTGTAAGAAGCAGTTGCAGAGCAGCACACTGGAATTGCCATCAGCACAGTGGACTCTCTTGAAAATCTTGATGCGAGCGTCATTCATCACAGACAGAGGGTTAGAAGGCGCCACCAACATTCTATCTTCGGTACCATTGTAGGAACCAACAAACTACCAAAGTTTCAAAAACCCATCAAGTAAAACTTGAAGACTGTTCTAAAGCCCACAGAGGACTCCGTCTAGGAAGGTCCAGAGGGCCAAGTGGGTCATTGCGAGCTTCGAGTGACTGAACCCCCGAGAGTATTCCCGCGCCTGATACCCTGCCTCCACAACAACCTGATCGTTTTTAAAAGTTAAAAAAGTAAATAAAAAAAAATCACTTGCAATTCTTCTCCTTGATGGAGACTGACAATTCTGACAATTCTGACAATTCTGACAATTGGCAGTGTTGTCCAGCACAGGCAGGGCAATGAACCGTGGCACTAATCGTTCCAAGGTATGATCCCTAGATTCCCTACCTTCTTCAGCGGAATACAGCATCGGTCATTATTGCTGTAAGTAGACAGACTTAAAGATGGACCAAATGCAGCCATAAGACCTTACGTTGTATTTGGGTGAAGATGGTAGTACCGTAGTACCATCATCCAGCATCACTTTCGGCTCTCCTCTCTACGATTGAAGGAAAGCGCTCCCGGATGGCTGCATCGTCCTCCCTCCGCAAAGGTTTCTTCACATTGGAAAGAATTCTCTGCAGCCCTTCGGCCTCGTGCTCCCTTCTACGGGATTTGAACCCCCGTCTTTGCCACACTTGCCCCCTTTCGATCCCTCCATTCCACACCCACACCATTTTGTCTGCCAAGATCCCCTTGTTAAAAAAAACATCAACTTGGGAAGTTCTGCACCAGAGAGACTTGTAAACAGATTGTACATATCTTTAGGACTTTTTTTAGCAGAAAGCAACCGAAAAAAAAACAGGCCCTTCCAACTCTTCTTTTTTCCCCTTTGTCACTTCACCCCCAACATCACCTCGATATTGCGAGGAAAATGAAGGCAGGCCTGAGGGTGCTGTGCTGTCAAAACACCCCTCCACTTTCGTTCCTCCGGATTATCCCCACTTGTGTCATTTGTTGTCTTGTTTTTTCTGTTTTTTTTTTTGTGAATGCATAACGGCAAATCAGGTTCACTTTGATAATCCCCACTTTGTGAACCTGAGGGGCCTTTACAGAGCAAAGTGCCAGCGGTTGTGAAAGGCCGAGAGGGGTCTAGAGAGACGGGATTTCCTTCCGCCTGGATACGAACGGCCAGAATACAAATATGCATCGCTTGGCTGCTCACCTGTTGAAACACCACATTGCAGAACGAGTTACAAAGTATAGTTCCCCTTTGAGAGACGTATAATACCATTTCCCACTGAGGAGCATGATACCGATTCTCACCCCCCCGGTGAGAAGTGTAATACCATTTCCCGGTGAGAAGCGGAATACCATTTCTGGTGAGACATTTCCCGGCGAGGAGCGTAATACTCTTCCCTGCGGAGAAGCATCATAATATTTCTGCCCGGTGACAAAGCCGAAAAGGCAGGCACACTCACAGTTACGAGGATGGCTTGCTAGCGATTAGAGCTGTCGATTGACAATCCTGATAAGTTGGCGATGCATCCACAGCTACTTTCTTCTTCTTCTTCTTCTTCTTCTTCCCCTCCATGACTACTCTCTTACAGGAGCATGGGCGGGAGACGGTTTGTCAGTCCTGTGTGCAGCCACATTAATAAAGTAGCCCCTCTCTTCCCTCAAGGGTTCTGAGCTCAGCTCACATTCACACAAGGGTCCCCGTAAGTAAGAATGAAATGCTAAATGAAATTCAAGCAGGTTGATTACCGTAGGCATGCTGAGACAAACTAGACATAGTAGACAATCTAAAACTGGGAGAGGCCAAAGAGATGCCGACCATCACATGCCATATTTTTGGCGACCAATCAGGCCAAGAACTTGGCCCCGCATCTGCAAAGGGGGGTCGGGAAATTGCAGCGACCACAACACAAGCAGACTGCAGCGTATCTGCCCATACCGGAAAGTACGAGCATCACATCTGCACGATGACCAATCTGTCACACTCGAACCCCAAAGTAAACAACAAGGAACTAAGAGAAAAAGGAGCTCGGCATGTGACGATGTCACCTTGTGAGTCAGGAGGCAATTCTCCTTATCGCACTTCCCCACCAGGAACTTAGTACACACAGCCACCTGGAACAGATACACATGCAATCAACGAGACACTACATAGTCATTTCACAGCACTAACATGTCTTTTTTTTTCTTTTACATAGTCATTTCACAGCACTAACATGTCTTTTTTTTCTTTTACATAGTCANTCTTTTTTTTTTTTACATAGTCATTTCACAGCACTAACATGTCTTTTTTTTCTTTTACATAGTCATTTCACAGCACTAACATGTCTTTTTTTTTTACATAGTCATTTCACAGCACTAACATGTCTTCTTTTTTCCATGGAACACACAAACACCTAATTCAAGGTAATGACCAACCATAGAAGAGATCCGTCACCAAGGAGAGCTGCTCAGTCACGCAAGCCGTAAGCCCCACACAATAGGAACCGCAGCTTCTGTCTCACAGTCGGATGCTCATGCACACACACACACACACACACACACACACACACACACACACACACACACACATAGGGAGTAGCAAAACCAACAGCATCATTCATAGCCATGTGGAATAGCTTATAGCCTTATACCCTATGCTGCAGACAGGAGAACCAAGTTCATATAGCCCACTTCTCGAGAAACAATATTGTTGATGGCTGGAGGATTTGCTGCACAGGACTAGTAAAGCAGGCAGGCAATGAGAGGTGTCAAGACTCGAGAGTGTATATATTGTCACATATCTATATCTATGTAGTAGTATGAACTAGAAGGCCGCACTTTGCAAAACAAACGATAAAAACCCAGAAGACAAAGAAGACGAGCACACTGAAACAATTATGTATCGTCTAGATATTGTCAGACATATCATTAATATATATATATCGTCACAAATAGAACTGCCCGGTAAACCGTAGGCAGAGAGAGAGAAGAGGACAACAAACGAGGGGCTGTGACAAACTGTTTCGTCGGAGTTTCACCGACTCATCAGGAGGCTGAACCCTATATAGATATATATCTATACATGAAGAAATGAGCGCACCTTCTCCGGATCATGTATGTAGGGGCATTTCCCATCCTTCTTGTTGCACGTCCCTGCGACCGACCAAGCACACACATCATCACTGCCATTCAGAGAGGATGTCTTATGAAGTCCCCCCAAAGTGCAAGACCACAACATGATCTACCTTCTTCTTCCTGTTTTTTTTTTTTTTTTTTTTTCCTGCACCTTCTTATATAATTCCCTTGCAAAAGAAGCTGCAACAACTAATGTCATTTTTCTCCATTGCCGTTGGAAAAAAAGCACTTGCCGCCTTTCAGATCAGACAAAGGCTAAATAGCTAGGTTACCAATGGTGCGGGGTCCGGTCGTCTCCCCCGGACGTCTCCCCCATACGTCCGGTACCCCCGTCGTCCGGTCGGACATCCCGGGCGGTCAGGGGAGTCCCGGACGTCTGATCCAACAACCTAGCTAAATAGTAAATAGTAAATAGTTAAAACTTAAATGTCCTTCGGGACATACGTTAAAATTGGAACGATACAGAGAAGATTAGCATGGCCCCTGCGCAAGGATGACACACATAATCAAGAAATGGTCCAAGTTAAAAAAAAAAAAAAAAAAAAAA